AAGTGTATTTTCTTCTTCCTTTCCCAAGACTTAAGGAATCAACTCATTTTTTTCGTGGCTCTTTTCTGTGTCAGACGAATCATGAATAAACATAAGTTTAGAGTTAAAGATGGTACAATGACTGTTCGCGAGAATAGTGTTTTATTGTATTATGTGTGTGTGTGTGTGTGTGTGTGTGTTTAAAGGGTATAAACCCAAAGAGACAAAGAAAGATAACTAAATATGACCCCTTACAGAGAGCACAATGATGACACTACCTTCACATACTCAAGAAACATTAATCTAAAACCAACAGCAAAGGCCAAAAAACAACTCAGCCTACTCCACAACCCACCAAATTGCTCAAGAACTTGATGGCTTTAAATGCATCCAAAAACAAAAGTGACAATAGAACTAAATACAGAGGCTTGTCTAAAAGTCATTTTAAGAGAAAATAAAAAATTCATATCCTTTTATTTCATGTAGATAAGCAATGGCCCTGTTCTTACCTTGACAGAGTCCTAAAGGCTTTTACACTTAGGAAGTAAAATAAAGGTCTTTGGGCTACAGATACAGGGCCAAGGTGAGATCAGGGGTATCATAATGGAAAAAGAAGAATTAAGTGATGGTTTACAGACTAGAGACTGAAAAGCTCACTTCTCTTCCCCTACTTGGCTCCTAGAAGGCTGGCATCCCCAGGTTACTCTCCAGGTTAAAAACTGAAAGAATCATCACTGAGAAGTCCAACCAGCCCAGAAGAAAAGCCCCCAAAATATTGCTATAATCAGCTCCCCACACAGTTGAGCTGTGAACTGCAAATATGTCAGTTATAATCATGTAAGCACTTAATAGTAACCTAACCATAGCCCTCGTCTTCCTTTTTCAGAAGTTGATAGACAGGGTCGAAAAAATTAAAAAATTACAAACATAAACATGTTATTTAGAAAACAGAGAGCTACAAAGCTGAAACTTTGTGTTATAGTTTCCTCTTCATTAATTCCTACCTACAAAGCTGTTTTGAAAACAAATGAGAAAGAAATGAGATCACTTTCAAGAATGTGCCCAGAAAACAGTGGATGGGAAAGGAAAGAGCCTGTCCGCCAGGTTCAGGGGGACATTATGATTTCCACCAACACCTCAGGGGTCAAACTCAAGCTCAACTAGAGTCCTGTTGGGAAGAAAAACAATTCCACATTCTTCCAATCCATAATCTTCAGGCACCATCGAGGTGAGCTAAGAGCCGTATCCTGAGGCAGTGAGACACAGCTCTAACTCACTTCTCCTTCCCTCCATGCACCTTGTCTACAACAAATTCTGTTTAGAAACTACCTGAAAACATAAGTAGTTCCCTACTCTAATTCCCTCACTATCATGAAGGTATTCCACTCATCCTTCACAAAGGACAGCTTTCAAGGCAACTATTTTAAAACACAGAGTTATGTTTGGAAATCACTATAGGGACAGCTTCTGAGAGTAACTGCAGTAACTCCATAAAGCTTGGCTAAAAAATAGTTTTTCTTTTGTGATTGCTTAATTTTTCTTTCTGAGAACTGTCAATATAGCTAAATCATTTACATTTCTCAAAAGGCTCAATATAGTCACAGTATCCACTATATTTCATTGGTTAAAATATTTATTAGCTCCAGAAATTGTGTTTATATTAAGTGAATGAATCATTTCTAGGAAGAACAGAGAAAGAAGGCTACAAAGGTAACAAACAAAGCTTCTGAGGTCACATAATGTTTTGAGTTTCATTTCCCTGTAATTAGGTCAGCTTTTGATACCTCAATCATTTTTCCTATCTTTTTTCAATTCGGCTTGCACCAGAGTTCCACTTGCAGTGTAAGTGACCTACTTAATAAGAATGTGGAACCCTCAGACAAAAAAAGTATCTTGGTTCTCTGCCCAACTCCACTGCTGGCTGCTGGCAATCCCAGCACATGCCTCACTTTCCTAACCTCAATCTTTTCACCTTTACAAGAAAGGGCTAGACTCTCAGTTGCTCTGCAGCTCTAAGACTCTGAATATTTCTGTACATCTCCCATGTACAAAGCCCTCTGTTAGATATACTGGAATGAGGGAAGATGCAAAGATGAACTGATGACACCTTATATAATATACTAGCAAAAAAGTACTGTATGGCCATACAGTACAAAATTAAATGCCACAGTTACCTTACTTATCTGTTCTATTCATGACTGGCATTGTGCTTGGCATACAGTGGATGCTCAAATAACATATATACCTATAGGGCAGGGGATTTAGCTCAGTGGTTCCGCCTTCTGCCTCGCAAGTGCAAGGTCCCAAGTTCGATCCCTGGTACCAAAAACAAACAAACAAACAAACATATATAACTATAATATTTAGATGAGAGAGGTTTCAGCTGATGGAGGGAGATCAGGAACAATTGTTTCATAGGTGTTACATCTGAGTTAACTTTTAAAAGGTGATTCAACTTTCAATAACTTTCAATAGTGTTATTTTTTAATAACACTATCCTCTAATTGGAGGCAAAGTCACAAGTCAACATTCAAGGTCCTCCATGCTCTGGGCCTAGTATTTCCTTCCATCGTTTTTTGTTTTTGTTTTTGTTTTTTTGTACCGGGGATTGAACTCAGGTCCTTGCGCTTGTGAGGCAGGTGGCTGAACCACTGAGCTAAACCCCCGGCCCTATCCTTCCATCTTTATTCAGAACTATGCTGTACCCAACCAATCTCCTTAACTATTCCAGCTTGATTTTTAAACTTCAGGTTTAGCTGGTAGAATCAGAGGTATTAGGCCAGTTGCAGAGTCTGGAATGTCATATCGATACGAACGGCATACACTCAGCTCTCACAAGAGTCACTGATCGTCTTAGACTTACTCTGGACCTGAGGTATCCTGTTGGCACGTCAGTGTCCTAGGAATTCGGTTGAAGATGAGTTAATCTCTGAGAGAAACACTGACTCTTAGTATGATAATGAAATTAAATGCAGGAACATTTGGAGACCTGGAGTCCAGGAAAATCACCAAGCTAAATACTGCTTTGTAGGCTTCCTAGTAACCACACATACTAAGTTCCCCCCAGGATAAAAAGAAGTAGAATTAAACCAAAGCCATCACTACTAAATTTCCAAACTGATGAAAAACAGAACAGTCTATACTTTCTCAGAGAAGGGAAAGGGGAGCAAAACAGCACACTGTGCACAAACAATGTGTATTTGAGTGTGTGGGGACCCAAGGGAGTACATGTGCCCAACTGGTTTTTCCCTCTAGCAACAACAGATATTCTTCTACTACAGATTTTTGATAATAACATCCACAACATATATTAGAACAACTGTGTATGTTTTTTTTTCTGTGTACATTCTAATTGGCTTCCGTCCAATTAAACAACTGCCATAGCAATCAAAATCTCCTTGTTTTTCCGTTTTTGCTATGAACCATGACTCTTTACTTGGGCCTACTCAACAGCCAACTAAAAGCAAAATCAGTTTGCCTTTCATTTTCTATCCTTTGTTACTGTAAATCTTGAGTCAAATCTCTTCTCAGATCTGCATATAGATATGTTAATTATTTAGGGAGATTCTGTCTAAAAGTTGGCAAAATAATGTTGATTTGTCCTGAGTTCCAGTCAAGATTGAGAACACCAAGATGGGGGATTTCCAGGCACATTCAATTATGCCTGGGAAGTCTCCACCCATTTTCCTGAACTTGTGATCGCTTGAAAATGAGACCACCCCTCAGCCAAAGGATTGCAGAGCTATGATACTGGGACTGACATTATAATCAACAGGACCCCAGCCTACCAGCCAATCTTTGAAAGCTGGCCACTCTTGCAGTGGGCCAGTCTGAATCCCCAGTATCAGCCTGCCCCCTCTGTAGGGAACAGGGGAAGGGGACATTACCAGAAGTAAGGGGACGTTACTCTGAAGTAAGTCCTAGTCTCCTGCGAGCCATGGCAGCACACGGCAAATTACAGGAAAGGTAGAAAAATGAGACTGAGAAGAAGCTGAGCTTTGGGTCTGATCAGTGATGCTCTGGGCAGCAAAGACAAAGACCCCCTAGCTTGCAGCACCTTTTATTCAGTACTTGGGGAAACAAATGTAACAAGTGAAATACAGAGTTCAGTACTTCACACTGGGATAAACAAGGTGTAACAAAAGACTGGGGGGCAGTGGAAATCTAAGACCAATGAGGAACTATGCAGATGAAGATTTGGTTCCTCCCTGGCATCTTCGTCTCCATAAAGTGTGGTCTTGTCCTGGAGATTCAGCATCTGGGGATCACTGAGGTCTCAGTTGTGACCTGAGGCCAAAATGCAATTATGTCTGGAATGTCATAGCTGGCCTGTAGGCTGCAGAACTAGGCCTACTCAAATGATTTTTCCCTAGAATTATGTAGCATTGCTCCCAACACCAATCCAGCTACCTAAGCTGGAAACCTTCCATTTCTTCCCTGTTACTATCCAATTAAAGCTTTTTTCCCCTGGAGGGAAAAAAGAAACAACTCCTGGCTTTCATTACAAGTGACATTTTGAATAGATGTCAGCAGTATAAGCAATCCCCAGCAAATCAAATTCAGTAAGCACAACACCTAACTGTGAGGACGTGAGAAAAAAAATGTCTCTTCTCTTCCATAAATATGTACCTAAATGGCCTGGCCACACTCTATGTTGGGGAGGATTGTTTAGTTGGTTGCTTGGGGATTTTTTGCTTTGCTTTCACTAGCTTGGTCTTTTTGAGACTGGGTCTCACTATAGTTCAGGTTGGCCTTGAACTCATATATAGAACAGGCTGGCCTCAAACTCATGGCAATCCTCCTGCCTCAGCCTCCTGAGTGCTGGGATTACAGGCATGTGTCAGGTTTGTTTAGTTTTTGTATCTGCTAAATGCTCAGACCTTCCACAAAGCAAACACAGGAAATCAAGTGTGCCAAAGTGTCTCCTAGGGGAATTCCAACATCTCCTTCTCAGGAGACAAGTAGTATCAGAGTTTTGGAGTAATCTGAGAGCAAAAGGAGAAAGACAAATGCCTACTTACCATAGAAGAGGAATGCTTTCATCATGGGGTGATGTAGGTAGGTCCGGTTGATTGTGAAGAAACAAGTATCCGCTCCACACTGGCCCAGCCGTCCAGTTTCCCCAGTTAGTGGGGACCACCACAGCATGATGGGGTGGCCATCAACTTCCAACTTTTTCTTCCTATTCAAGGTCAGTGCTTCTTTCTTAAAGAATACATTGAGCTGTTTGGACTCCTCTTCCACCTTTTCCTGTCCATCTTGCAAGTGGGAGTTTTTAAACGTCTTCCTTTCAAATTTCCCCAGCTCAACCACAACCTGAAAGTGAAGATAGTTACTATCAGATTTCCTTTGGCACACCTCCCAGTCCCCTTGGTGACTGAGTGTCCTATCCATTTTCTGTTGCTGCTCTAACAAATTACCACAAACTTCCTAATTTGAAACGACTAACATTTATTATTACACAGTTCAGGTGGATAAGGAGTTGGAAACGGAATTCACTGAGTTAAAATCAAAGGGTTAAGAGGGCTACATTCCTTTCTGGAGATTTCAGGGAAGAATCCATTTTCTTGACTTTTCCGTCTTTTAGAGGCCACCTGTAATGGTTGGCCCATGGCCACTTCCTCCACCTTGAAAGCAAGCAACAGTGCCCCTCTCCGACTCTTCTGACCCCTCTCTGACTCTTCTGACCCCTCTCTGACGATGGCCAGGGAAGGCTTTCTACTCTCAGTGATTCATGTGATTACAATGGGCCTACGTGAATTGCTAAGAATAATCTCCATAAGAGAATACCTGAGACCAAGAATTACTTTTTTTATATTTTTATTAGTACGTTTGCAGTATATGATTATATTCATCATGGGGAGATGGTACCTATACATAATACATCTTATTTTTTTCATTTCCCCTCTTGGCCTCTCCCTCCCCTTTCTGAGGCCAAATAATTTACAGAGATTTATTTTTTACAGTTCTGGAGGCTGGGAAGTACAAGGTTGAGGGGTCCAAGAGAAGTAAAGGAGCCTAAACTCATCCTTTTATCAGGAACCCTCCTAACTCACTCACTCCTGCCTTCATAGCCTTCCTCTATTCATGAGGGAAAAGCTCCTATGGCCTAATCACCTCATAAAGGTCTCAGCTTTCTATACTGTTGCACTGTATGTCCAAAACATGAACTCTAAGGGACACATTCACAAAGCCATGCTCCACCTCACGATATGTGACATTAGTCCCATCTGCAAAATCCCTTCTGCCATGTAAGTGACATATTCACAGGTCCATGGAGTATGGCATGGACACAGCCTCCAAAATATAGCCCTTAATAATTCTATTAGACACTTACAATGGACCCATCCCCCTCATTTCATAAACAGATAATCCAGCAAAGGTTTTGTCCGTTGAAGTTTATTCTAGGGTTATAACCTGTCTACTACTAGAGATTACACACTAGGGAAAATGAGTTCCAAGTTACCAACTGATTTCTTTTATTACAAAGAAGTCAAGTGTTATATTTCTAACTATACCCACTACAGCACTGACACGATGAAGTACTATCTAACATCAAAACTCCCTAGAGACTGTGTTATTGACACAGAGGTCCATTGAGAACTGGCCTTCCACTCCTTTACACAAAAGACTGCAGTTTTCAGCTATTCAGGATAGTCTACATCTGCTTACTGGGCCATCGGAAACAGAAATGGGAAGGGCAAAGAGAATGGGATACAAACTAGGGGGCAGCTGTCCTCCAAAAGTGCTGCCTTTTCACTAAATTTTAAAACTTTACATTGATATGGCATTACTAAAATGTTAGCAAAAGATTGATCTATCTTATGTATAACTGAAAGCTTGGCAAACAGACTGAAACACAGAAAGTAGTTAAAGGAAGCACATTCGCATTTTTATGTAGTCAGCCCCTCTATATCCACAGATACTTTATCTACAGAGTCCACCAACCATGGATCAAAACTATTCAAAGAAAAAAATCACATCTATACTGGACATGTACAGATATTTTTCCCTATCATAATTCCCTAAATGATACAATGTAACAACTATTTACATCACATTGACATTGTATTGGATACTGTGACCAATCTAGATATGCTTTAAAGTATACAGGAGAATGTGCATAGTTTGTATGCAAATACTGTGCCATTTTACATAACAGACTTGTGAATCTGCACATTTTGGTAAACGGAGAACCAATCCCCTACGGCCATGGCGGCTGAACCTGTAGCATGCAGGTTACTGTATTTTTCTTTTAAGACGAAAGATGTTAATGTATGAATTGTTTCTTCTAAATTAAAAACCTCACTATTCAGGTTTAAACGCAGTGTTGGCACTTTGCACTAAATAACTGAGTTTGGGGTTGCAATTTGGCACTCTCGCCATCACTGCTAAGGACTCCAAGAATGACTTTTAACTTCATAATCAGCTAAAGAGAGAGCTCCCTGTGAAGCCCTGCTCATAGCAACCTAGGGCAGTGCCTTTTCCATGTATGACTCCAGCAGCAATGGGGTCTGTACCTCCCTGGGGAGAGCTGTAATTTTTATTAGATTCTCAAAACTACCCAAGGCCTAAGAAAATAATAAGAACCACTGAGTGAAAGACAATTAGCAGTATTCCTAAAGGAGTAAGAAACTGTATTTGCTTTTAAAAAATCATGGATCACCTCTGACACCAGAGTCTGCATTAAAACAGCAAAATACTCCTGAAAAGTAGTCTAACTCTGGCCAGTAGCTTTCTCAGCATTTTTATAATATAATAAGGTGGTTGTTCCCCAGGAGCTTGATAGAACAGAGTTGGCTTATGGCCCCAAACTATCTTCATTTGACCTTCCCCTACAAATATACTGCTAGCAACTTAAAAAAAAAAAAAAGATTTGTAAAAAGCCATGGGATATAACTTCAAAGATAACATTTGTTCTACACTTCTGATCAATGTCTCCTATGTGAAGTATAAGTTCACTTACAAATAAGGATTTTTTCTGCCAAACAGCTTTTAAAAATATATTTATCCACAGATATCACTACCAGGTTGTAAGTATGGGGGTAGACAGAGGAAAATATTGAAACCATGAGGATAAAATCAGCCAAATCCACAGTTTAGACAATTCAAAAGATCAAATAAGCCCGTTTCTTCAAGCAATCCATGACATCAAATAAAAGGTAGGACAAAAGAAATTTCCAAAAGAAAAAAACGAAGCAAAAACCATAACTTGAGATACACTAACCAAATGCAATGTGTGAGATTTGCTTATTCCATATTCGAACCAATATATTATGAAAAAGCTTTTTTAAGACAACTGGGAAAATTTTAATATGCCTAGGATATAGAGGTTATTGAGTAATTATTGCTAATTTTGTTGGATAAGAGATTAATAATGTGGTTACATGAAAATGTAAATGTTTCTATGTGTCAGAAAATCATATTAACATGTGTCCAGGTGAAATGCTATGCCTAAAATTTGCCCTGAAAAACTCCAAACTTCATGAAACATTTGCAACTAAAAAGTAAAATTCAAAAATAAAGATAAAATACATATATTATATACCCAAAGAGTTTATAGATACTATACACAAAATATAGTTAAAAGTGGTTGAAAAACAGCCTAAGATGATTTCCTCCAGAGAACAATCTTTGAGCTTAACTTTGGGTAAACATTACATTTTCATGTTTAGATTATCATTAACTAAGTAATTAATGTTATAGAACTATTGGGGGCTGAATCGTATATCCCAAAAATTCATATGTTGAGGCCCTAACTCCCAGAACCTTAGTATATGGCTGTATTTGAAGGCTGGATCTTGAAATAGGTTAATAAGTGAGACCATTAGAGCCCCAATCCAATATAACTATGGTCCTCATAAAAAAGGGAAATTTGGACACAGACAAGTACAGACAGCAGACAGTATGACACGGGGAGAAGATGGTCATCTGTAAGTCAAGGAGAGGACCAACAGAGGATCCATAACATGATTTATTTTTTAATTTATCTTTTCTTTATCTTACTCATGTGGCAAATTATTGTATGTGCCTACTCCATAAATCATTAAGAACAAATATGGCTCTGAATGCACAAGCATTCTTTTTTCATTGGTAAGTGTTTTTAAAGAATTTTTTTTTTTGATGGGTGGACATTCTTTTCACTTTATTTTTCAACATTGTGTATTGCAGCTTCTGGTCTACATTAGGATTGCTGAGTTTGTATGCACTTTAATAAATAGTCCATTACAATCCTTTGATTGGAGAATTTCTTGGTTTCTTGGTATCCCTAGCACCAAAGAAGTTTCTTGGGCGGAAGGAAAAGTATTTGTTGTCTTCTTCCTCCTGGTTGGCGTAGATCCCTCCCTCCAAGCGAAAGGCCAGTGAGCTCTTTCTTTGGTTTACTCATGTGGCCTCAAGGACACCACTATCACCCATTCCTTGCACTTTTTAGATTTGTGTGTCTCATAGTCTTCCGTGAGGGTCTGCATCAGATTCTTGGGCTGCTGGGTTCTAGCAGCCTCTTGAGGGCTAAGTCAGGCTTAGAGCTGGGGCCTTCGGTTGTGGGGGATGGAGGAGGTTTGATTTTCTCTATTTTCCCTGGGGCGGTTTTGTAGCAGGAGGTTCTGGAGGGCAGCGACAGGGCATTCTTGGTCCTGGGGCTTGGGGTGCTCTGCCGCACTTGTCTCTGCGCTTGAGCTCCTCTCCCCTCTCCTGGGCAGCTCGAATCTCCTCCTCAATCATGGACAAAGTCAGTTGCTTCCCTGACCTCAGCCTGAAGGGCCCAACCATCCTGTCAGAGTCTTGAGTGGCCAGGAGGGAGGCTGTGCTTCTCAGCTCAGCTGCCTCCTAGTACTTGCTGAAATAGCCTCCTGCGGGCCTGGTCTCCTCCATGTAAATTGGGCTGCTGGGCTGCACAGCTGGCGGCAGCTGGGAGGGGCCCCTTTCCCTGAGCATCCTGTCCTCCACAGGTAGGTTCTTTGGTAATATATCCCTTTTCTCTTGAACGGGAGAGGATACCTGAGGTGGCTCAAACATGCTCTGAGGCTTCTCTGAGCTGGGAGCCCTGGTTTCAGTTTCCTTCAGAGTTGCTTCCGGTCCCTGCCATTCTGCTCCCCCCTTGCTGGTTTGGGGCAGAGCCTTAATCGCCTGCTCGGCTATGGCTTGTTGAATGGCATTTTGCACCAGAAGACCAGCCTGATATTCCAAGGAGTCATCCACAGATGGAGAATCTCCTAGGGTAGAGGAAGGGGAATAGAAACCATGATCACTAAATGACTTCGAGATCCCTTCTCGGCCCTCTGAGGGGTTGTCCGTCTGTGGAGTCTGAAGCAAAGAGAAATCAGCCAGCGAGTTTCCCTGGAGGGCATTGGTTGTGGCATTGAAGGCACCACTGTCACTGATGTTGTCCATGCTGAAATCGTTGGACAGGATCTCCAGGACAACAGTATCCTGGGACCTCACTGACAACTCATCGGAACTTGAGTCAAGCTCCTCTTGAGTCAGAGACATTGACCGATCTTGAAAACTGATCCAAAATCCCATGGTCGTCATCCTTGACCACAGTGAAGATAGCGCAGGCACTCGTAAACTCTCCATCCTCTGCCCAGTTTCGATAAGGGCCCACATTTGGAAGGCTCACTGTAAGGCCCTTCCTTTCCCTGAGGGGAGGCAGTGCCTGGGCCTCCTCCATCTGACTGAGTCTCTGGCACACAGGGTGCTTTCTGCCCCTTGGCTGCCGACGCACTGTCTTCCAGAGGTCCCACCATGGAAGATGATCTCAGGATGGTGGTTGGCTTGTCAGAGTTGATGGACCCCAGAGGCCTATAGAAAGGCTTGATAGAGAACAGCCGAGGTGTACTCTGGCCCTTGGCCACCTGGAATTCTCCATCAGCTGGAACTGTTTGAGTGCTGCTGAGAAGTCAATCTGCTCTGTGACCATGTCCTCCTTCGCATTTTCAGTCCCACTGATGCTGATGGGACATTCATGAGAGGAATCTGGGGCTATGCAGAGCTGTGCTGGGGGCTGCTGCTGCTGCTGAAGTTGCTGCTGTAACAGCAGCTGCTCCTGCTGCACCCTTCTCTCCTTGTACTTTTTGTGTGATTCGAGATGCTCCTCATCCAGCTGCTCCTCAATGGTTTTCTCCTGATGAGGATTCCACCACTTTGCTGCAATGCCAGGCGTCTTCTTCACAGCCTGACTCCAGATGAGCTCCCTCCTCTCCTTCTCCAGCTCCAGCATCTCTTCTGAAGGCCTCACTTTCCAGACACAGTACTGTTCCTTCTCATGTTCATCCTCCTCTAAGAGCTTGGTGGGCTTCTTGTCCTCATGAAAGGCACGAAGCTCAAATTTGGCTTCCTTCTTCAGCATGGTGTGAATTCCCCATCTCTGGAAGAACAGCGGAAGCTGGTGGAGGAGCTGGGACTCACGGGTGCCTGCAGGCTGTCCCCCAGCGTATCTCAGAGCTGATCAGGGGAGGGGCCATTCGCCCTTTCCCCCTCTGCCATAGTGTCAGAGGGGCTTCCACTGAGCTCCATGTGAGGAGGAGCCTGCCCGCCCACTAGTCTGTCAGCGGGCTCAGGTTGGGTGGGTGTGGGCACGGGTGGGCTTATGTTCCCCTCTGGGCTCGCTGCACCAGGCTCTGGGGAAGATGTTCTGTTGTAAGTTCCACCAACAGCAGAATCACAGCAGTTCCCCTCCAGCACCTCCTCTAGATATCGAATCTCTCTGGCCACATGGTTATCCAGGGATTTGTGGTGATGGGTGAGGAGGCCATTGTGTGGAGAATAGAAAGGGGAAGAGTGGTCCATGGAATGGGGGGTGGAGGCTATTCCAGGAACACTTTTACTATATTCTGTAGCAGACACCTCAATTTCCATGTTTTTGTGATCTGGGGAAAACAGCTGGTAGCAGACTCCAGGAGACAGGCACTACCGTTGTCTCTCTCGATTTTAGTTGGATATCATCCTCAGAAAGCTGGGGAAGCTTCTCTGGGCTCTGGCTTCCATATGCACAGTCCTTGGACTGGGTTCCAGCGTGACGCTTTGCCTCCTGACTGGGGCACTCGGCAGCCCGGGCTGGGGCCAGGGCATCTGCAGGGAGTGGAGACCACAAGCACACTGGAAGTTGTAGAGCCCTGGCATGGCGCCACCCCACCCCTAAAGAATTTTTTATGATAACATTACCAAGATGCTGAACACTGACACATTCAATGTGCTGGTGGGGAGTGGGAAACCTATTGGTGGCAAAACTGAAAGTGGACCAGACTAAGGTTTAGCTCCAGGATTTGCACTACTCCTCATGCTCCAGAAACGTAGAATGGACATGCACGTCAAAAACATGGAAATTTATTCTGACATCAAAGCGAGAGCTCTTAGCTTAGACTCAGGCATTCCTCAGAACCGGACAAAGTGCCACAGCAAATGCCTAGGAAGATCAAAACGCCCTCGAAACTTCCCATGGAGAGAAGCAGACACCCCAAGCCCCTCCTGCATGGCGAACCCTAGACATCTCCAAGACAGACAAGGAAGCAGTCAAATGTCCCCTCTGACCAGATTCCCAACCTGCAGAGAAGTATAGCACCAGTGTCCACTAAAGAGTTTTTATAAGCACTAAGCTCTTCCATCCTGATCAGATAAAGGGAGCCACAGAGTTAAAAGCCCAGAAAACACTTTAGTTTACATCAGTTCCACACCTGGACTACCCACATCCATAAATCATCTGTAAAAGTCCTTCCAATTGTGAAAGGAACAGCTGGTACTTGAATAGAGGAAGAATATATCTAATACATATATCTTTATCACTGCACGATTTTTATTTTAATTTTAGATTAGTAAACAAAGTTCAAAACTTACTATAGAAACTAAGTAGGAGGACTAAAGAAATGTTTCAGTTCATTCACCTTAATAAAGTCCTTGATCTAATTGCATATGTCAAGAAATTTACTCATGTGGTTGTTTGTATTCTGTACTTATTACAAGATACAGAATATCTTCCAGATACTATTCTCAGAATAGTCCTTGCTTCTTCAGATCTGTCATGTTTCAGAAGCATAACCATAAGAGACTCTGAGGGAGCCATCCAACGACCCAGTGAGATAAAGTGAGCTGTAATTTGTTTCACTAAAACCAGCACTCTACAAGAGTCACAAACTGACCCCCTATCTCAATGGTTTTGTTTCTGACACATTCACTCAATAAACTTCAATTTCACCTGTTTAAAAAAAAAAAAAACTTTTCCTTGCCTTATACTGCAGAAAGCCCCTGATCCTAAAGGATTAAGCAAGAAAGTAAAGTACTTGGAAATTTTATAAGAATAGAATTGGGGGGCCAGGGATTTAGCTCAGTGGTTCCGCCACCTGCCTCAAAAGCGCAAGGTCCCAAATTCGATCCTGGTACCAAAAGAAAAAGAACTGAGGAGGTAACAAAGGCCAGGGATGAATCCACTATACAGCCTGACTCCTTGGTACCTGGAGTGTGACAAGCAGAAAGACAGTAGCTGTCATGCACAGGAAGGGTGCCAAGAGCTTCCTCCTCTGAATGCGCACCATGCCGCCCTGCCTCGGGTGACTGACAGAGGGCAGGCCTGGACACCAGGTGTCCTCGAGTCAGCCCACAGCGCGAGACGACTTCACGTGGAGGAGCCATCTGGGTGCCAATTTCCTACACTGACATTCCTGCTGGGACCTGGTCTCCATGAAGGACTGAGATCTGCAGCTCCAAGTGGGCCTGGCATGGCATGGAGAAGGAGCAGCATGCAATCTTCCTAAGCCATCATCAGAGCAGCTGGAGACTCTTCAGGCAAGAAGGCATCAACAAATCCTGTAACAAATGCATAGATAATCTATTATTAGCCATGCTGCAGAAGGCTGAATAGATGTGGTCTTATAAGGTTAGCAGGTAAACTACGAAAGCTTTAAACTTTTGGGATCATAGCATCCCAGTACGTCACTCACTGGTAAAGGAAACTGAGATAGGGTAGTAACATGACTTGCTTGAAGCCACACAGCCCGTGAGCGAGTACCAACTCCACAGGCAAGACCCAACATCTAGAATTCTCTTTCCATTTTATTTTTTCTGCCATCAAAAGATTGAATTTCAGAAGTCATTTATGTGAACTTCCTTCCTTCTACCTAGGTTTCAAAGGAATAGAGAAGTAGAATAGAAATTACCAGGACTAGTGGCTGTGGTGTAGCTCAGTGGCAAAGCACCTGCCTAGAACACATGAGGCCCCAGATTTCACCCCTAGCACTGCAAAAAAAAGAAAGGAAGTACCAGGACTATTCACCCATTCCCATGAAAATTAGGAAAACATGTAAAGTCTCAGGCTTTGATCAAAAATGGCTAATGATCAACTGCCCCAATATGCAGCTTCAGCCACAATTTATTTGTTAATTCTACTATGGCCAGTGTAATAAAGCAGCAGGTTGTTTGGGCAATATACCTAGGGTTTCATGTATTCGAAGGAGACAATCTTTTAAAAGCCATTGAATGGTTCCACAGAATGCCTTTTATTCCCAAGTTTCCAGAGCCAGGTGTGGTGGCCCATGCCTGTAATCCCAGTACTCAGGAGGCTGAGGCAGGAGGACTGAGTTTGAGACCAGCCTGGGCTACATAATGAGTTCAAGGCCAGTCTGAACTACACAGCAAGAACCTGACTCAAAAAAAAAAAAATTCGTAAGTTCAATGTTGTGGGCAAATGGCCTCATGAAGTTCAGAGTTGGGCAGAAGTGAGTTGCTCCACAGTGCACCAAAGGCTTGGTTCTAAGTCAGAGCCACGTGTTCTCAGGATGGAAAAAATCAAAGATGTAATTAGAACTCTAAAAGCAATATAGAACTCTGGAGAAAGAGCTGGATTTAAAAAGTGTGCTCCTCTCTTGAGGCTTGGATTTACTTTCAAATCCATATTTTTCTCCCTCAACACCATAATGACTCTGGTCTCCGAAATTACCAAGTGTATTTTCTTCTTTCACCTATGGAATTGCAAAGTACAGTAACCACAAGAATGGTTTTTAGAGTCAGCCTGCCAGGATTCAAATCTCAACTCCCCAGCTGACTTAACCTAGCTTCTGCATGATACAATTCCCAAAATAGATAAAAATAATACCTAATCAGAGTTAGTGAAAAGTACTCTAAGACTGGCAAAACACTTACTTCAGAGCATGGCCTAATAAATGCCTAATAAATGTTTATTCCTCTTTTATTGAACTATGATTTTTATTATACCTTTAGGTACAAAATGATGTTGAATTTATATAAAATGTTGCTCCTCATCAACTAGAACTTCAAAAAGAAAAATGACAAAGAAAAGGAAGTCACTAAGTACTTATTGAGTGATCTATTATGAGCAAGGCCTTTCCTAAGTACACAGCATGCATGAGGTCATTCCATCTTTCCACGAAGCAGGAACTATTATCTTCATTTTTTTTTTTTGGTACTGGAAATCGAACTCAGGGCCTTGCGATTGGGAGGCAGACACGGTGCCACTGAGCTAAATCCCCGACTATCTTCATTTTTAATGGTGAAAAAAACTAAATTTGAAGACGGTAAAGTAATTTTCCAAGACCGTAACTTTTTTTTTGTAATTTGAGCTCCTTAAAATTCATGGCACTGCAGTAGGTGCTTTTTGTTTATTGTTATTAGTACATGTTTGTAGTACATAATGATTACATTCATCATGGGGAATTGGTACATATACACAGCATTTCAATTCTTTTTTCACAAGAACTTCAAAAAGTACTACAACAAGAAACCAGTGTGGCTCTGAAGTTTCTGCATTTTCTATATTTAAACATTAATAGTATAAAATTCCCACCAGATAACACTAACACTCACATGTTATCGACATGAACCACAGGTGGGGGGGGCGGGAGGGGGACCTGTAGAACAACTGCCAGTTGAGATATAAGAAAACAAAGGAACAAAAATCTCCAAGAAGCTGAAATGAACCTTACCTTCTACATGGTAGATGCTAGCAGCTATCATCCACACAAAGTGTGGCGCTAACACTTTGGGATCCAATTTTGGTTCTGTTACTTATGCACAGTATAAATTTGGACACGTTACTAAATCTAAGTCTCAGTTTATTTGTAGTATATAATACATGTTAACTCATTATTTTTCCCCTGCATAACAGAAAGGTTATCAGATGCTCATTGTAAGTGCAAAAGCAATTTAATACAGCTGTAATTAATGTAACCCAGATTAGATAATGAAATATTTCCAGCCTAACTGGAAATTTAATTATATCATTTTCAAAAGATTTTTAGATCCATCATTCCACTTAATCTAACTTGTAACCACTTTGTAAACCAGACAAGGTTGGCATTATTATTCCCACTTCTCAAAAATAAAGAAACAGAGCCTCAGCAAGTTTAAGTAATTTGCATATGATCACATGTCTTTTAAGGTTTCTGCCAGAAATCAGGTCACCTAACTCCAAGATCAGCAGAAAGGAAAAAGATGGCAGAACAGTGACAGGTTGTCAAGAGCACAAGGAGTCAGGGGCAAAGGACAAAAGTTGGAGAGAGAATCTGAGGATAAAGTCTGGATATATTTACCATTACCATATAGCTCAAGTCAACTGTACTGTCTTTTAAAGGTCTTTATGTGGCTACATCAACTCTATGAAGAATTTAAGGTTATGAATTTCCTTCCATCCAGAGAGTCTCAATTTAGCTTACATTCCCAAAGTCAGAAGTATAGCAAGATCTCAGGGACCTACCAGTGGTTAAATACGCACTAAAAAAGATACCAGTATGTATTATTAAACAATTGTGCAGGCCTCAGCGTGTATTTACAACAGAACTGTCAGTCTAGTATATGATATTAATTACCCAGGAGGCTGTCATCCAGGCAGCAGTCCCCTCATCATGGGCTTGCAAGAGCACCGTGAAGATAAGCAAGCTTCCATTCAATGGCACTCCAAGAGAGGAGCTCCTTCTGTTCCATCCTCGTCTGCAGGATGAATCTGAGAGACCTCCAAGAGAATGTCCCAGAATATTCCTTTCTGGGACACAGTGATGTGTTTGTTCAGATAACCAAAGTAGATAACATCTGATATGGATTCTCACTAACCAACCGTCTTCCTCCTAGGAATTGGGCTTTGGTAATAATGGCAGGGCTGGTGTGCACTGCCTGGGGCTGGCTATCTGCTGCCTGTAGCAGGGTATAGAGCTGAGTAGGTCTACCTCATGCTCCCACAAGTGATATCTCAAAACCAGCTGCACTGTCATCCTAAAAGTAATTCCTAATTCCTACTTTAAATCAAGATGAACAAAAGGAAAGAGAGACCAAGTATCTCAAAGAAAACTCAGAGGCTAAGGTTGCCAACTTCAAGGTGGAGGACTAGTTTAAGTCATGGGTTAAATGTGTGAGAAATGGAACTGAGTGAGGATTTCTGCCCTGTGTCTCTAAGTGCACAATGAGAAACCACCCTAGGTGAGCCATGGAACACGTGGAGCTTCCCAACCTTGATGGTGTGTCTCTCCCCTCCTCGTCCTCCTCCCAATGGCAGAGAAGGCAAGGCCAAAGGTAGGAATCTCTAGGAAAGCTCCTTCACTTGGCTCTTCTCTAGTAATTGGGGAGTTAATTGGTTTAATAAGTGATTTTCTTAACTAAAGATAATACCAAGGAGGGTTTTCAGAAGGAATGTACCTAATAATCAAACTTAAATTATTCACACTAAGGTGTAATTTCTAAAATAGGCTTGACTCTTTCAAGGGGTGTCACTTTCTAACATGTAAATCTGCAGAATGTCCCTTAAAGATTGGCTGTCTTGGAAAAAGATGAGGTGGGAAGGCTAATGTGAAGATGTCTAAGGGCCTCTGGACCACTCTTCTGGCACATTTAACTACCTCCTTTCAACACTCCTCATTCATTCCTGCTGAGTTACTCTCAAAGTCCAAGGTTGGTGCTCTTCCCATCTGATCTTCTGTTCACCCTTCAGCCATAAAGAGATGTCCCTAGAATGTTGATTGGTTATCTCACCTCTTATTGAAATACTTTAATAGCTTCCCAAAGATTTCACGATCAAAGACAAAGATCAAACTCTGCTAGCTTCAAAACTAGACAGTGTGAACCCTATCCTATTTGTCTAGCTTCCTCTCCTCAGAGTCCTTGTTCCTTTTAATCCTGGAATGTAGCTTCCTATCCTGTGCTCTCTGCCTACTTAGATACCTCTTTCACTCTTCCAGTCATTCTCTGAGTCTTTCAAGGTTGCTTCAGAAAATTTATCCCTCCCAAGACCAAGTCAGTTTATAGATCCATGTCATCCTGTGCTTATTTCTATCATAGCAATGGAAAGAATGTAAGAAGCTGGAGGATTTGAGAAAACTTTTTGGGGGGGGGGGGTACTGAGGATTGAACCTAAGGCTTTCACGCTAAGCTACATCCCAATCCCTTTTTAATTTACAGACAGGGTCCCACTGAGTCACTAAGTTGGCAAAGCAAGACTAAAACCTGTGACCCTTCTGCCTCAACCTCCCAGAAAGCTGGGATTACACACATGCACTACCACCTTTAAGGCTTTTAAGAAACTCTACAGCTGCTTCACTGGGTGCACAGAAAAGAACTGTGGACTATTACAAAGTTGACCCATTTGTTAATTTGCTGATGACTCCCTTAATGTTTCCACTTTAACCTAATTTTACTAATACTTATTTCCATTAATCCGTTTCTCATTCTTTTATAATGGACTTCTTATTTTTCTGGGCATTAATTTTCCCATAAAAAGGGCTTTGGGTGAAAGATTTCTATTTGGAAATGTCATTCTCCTTCAACCAAGGACACATTTCAAGCAAGACCACTGTGACTCAAGACTG